TGGCCCATGGTCTGCCAAGGAGTTGAAGATAGTAGGATAATATATTATCTGGGGCTAGCCAGAGGGATTTTCATCTTGGCCCATGGTCTGCCAAGGAGTTGAAGATAGAATTTAGGATGTTTGTGAACTTGTATGGAATAAATATTATTTACATCTTCACTAATCTGTAAGGTTACTTTCCTTAAGGGAAATTTAGCATTGTCTTCCATTACAAATGTAGGCAAAAACTCTTAGTATTGAGCATTACCTGTGGTATTGGTATCAACAGATACCATTGATATTTTTTGGCACATTATACCTGTGCGTATATAAAATACAAAGAACAGAGCATGTGTGTATTTATAATTATATATTTTTATATATACTAACATATATAATTAAAATATATATATATTATAGAATATATAATTTATGCTCATAACTATAACCAAAAACAAATAGCTATTTTATGTGATCTGAGTCTTACAGTTTCCAACTGGCCGACTCTGGTAATGTTTTGCCCAGTGGTCATTTAGCCACCAAATGATGATGTCACATGGTCTCATAGGGAATTCAAAAAGTCTTGCAGAATTTTGATGTTCCTTGAGAGGAGTCAGTCCTCATCTTATGAGGTGAACCACGGAAGCTTTAATTACATTTGCAACAATAAATCCTTGGGAATAGATATTTTCAAGCCTTGTAACTTTCAAAGAAAATGTTGAAAATTTTGGTTGTCCAATGTGACATGCGTGTTGCTTTGTCAAAAGTCGCTCCTGAGTTTCACGTTCTTATTTAGGATAAGCACCTATAGTTTTCACAATGATCGCTCTGAAAAGATAAAATTTAGGGGCACCTGGGTAGCTCAGTCAGTTAAGCATCCAAGTCTTGATCTCAGCTCAGGTGTTGATCTCAGGGTTGTGAGTTTAAGCCCCACGTTGGGCTCCACGCTCTGAGCCTACTTAAAAAAAATTAACCTTGCCTTGCCTATGTAATAATTATATTTCTTATTACCTAACATGTTAACAAACAAGCACATTGTTACTGTCATGCATATATATTTTAAAATATTTGATGACATTTCTATATCATTTTCTCTGTAACGTTTGTATTTTATTAGCAATGCTATTCTAAAAAGGGGATCCATAGGCTTCACCAGACCTAACTAAAAAAGTTTCAGAATTCTTGACCCAGAGAATTGAATTTATTTAACATTTACAGATAACATCAGTGCAATTTCATCTACTTTGGGGTTCTTACTAATGTCCAATTTACATATTTTTTCTTTTATTGGTTTTTAAGAGGCAAATGCAAATTCAAAACCTAATAGTTCTTTTTTCTTTGTTAATATTTATATTACATCAGTGAGCCTAGGAAGCGCAATTTGCTGTAGGCTCTGTTCTAATACTACCGTCTATGTTTCTCTTTAATATTTGTTTTCTGTCTTCTGCCGTCTTATGCCTACTAATTTATGTCGACTGACATTTTTATGAAGAATCTTCTTTTAAGTACTTGTAATTTTCCCAGATGCAAGCCCTTGGTTTCTATGATAAGACTAGTTTCTTCAACCTCTAATTCATGTTTTCCTTTTGTGTTTATTTAGAATTTTTATATAGTTACTACTATTATTATTCACTAGAAATGTGGAACTATTTCAAAGGTAAAAAAATACTGCTACCTCCCTGTTGGTGGGAATTTTTATTACGGTGTCCATTCATTCATCAAAGCTCTATGAAACGTAATAATTCATTATGTATTCTGTGAGCACCCACTGTGCTTTACTTGTGACAAGTCTTCCCTGACGGTATAAACAGGTAAGATGATCTTTATTTCTGGTGTGCCTGGGTGGCTCAGTCGGTTGAGCATCAGACTTTGGCTCAGGTCTTGACCTCAGAGTTTGAGCCCAGTGTGGGGCTTTGTGCTGACAGCTCAGAGCCTGGAGCCTGCTTCGGATTCTGTCTCCTTCTCTCTGCCCCTTCCGTGCTCACTCTCTCTCTCTCTCTCTCTCTCAAAAATAAATAACAAAAACATTAATTTTTTTTTAAAAAGATGATCTTTACTTTCAAAATGTTTAATTTTGAAGGGGAATATAGGCATGTGACATATGACCATGAAAATTAACAATGATAAGGGGTATAGGAAAGGAATAAAAAGGCAAATGTTCAAGCCTATCTTTTTTTCTCCTTCATTTCTTTAGAAAACAGTTTTTATTTAAACAAATTATAGCATTGTACTGAATTAACATATATAGAAATAATATGAAAAAAATGGCTGCACAGAAAATAAAGAGGTGGGGGAAAGGCCCTCTGTACATAAGAGTAAAAACTGATAAATAAAGAAGTACTAGGAAAGATATCATTTCATAACCACTGTGGTGATAATTAATCCTGGCAGGAATACCAATGATTGTTAACAATTATTGGAGAAAAAATTTTAGAAACAAGATTGTCATGTAGTGTCAATGTATCTCCTAACATATACTGATTTATATACAAATGATAAAAGGTATCTTTATAGCATAAAATAATAACAGCTAAGTTCAAAATAAAACAAGACAGGCCTATCATTTATTTGGAATGGCTTAATGCCTAAAGGTATAATTACTCCCCAATTAATATATAAATATAATAAACTTCCAATCAAATTTCCAGGGGGATTTTTTAAAGGTAAAAAAAAAAAAAAAGAAATACGTTTTTCTAAGATGTGTATTCTTTTTCTTGTAGCCAATCTAAAAGTGTCCTCAGTTTTTTCCCCATTGAGTATTGGGCATACATTTTTGGCATATAACTGTTACCCAGTTAAGGAAGTCTCTTGTTTGCTGACACATTTTTAAATCATAAATTAACATTCATGCCCTAAAATATATTTTCCTACATCTACTGAGAAAATTGTTGTGATGAGGTATGTTTATACTTTTGCTTATGTTGAACCATTATTGTATTCCTGGTATAAACTCTAATAATTTAATATGATTTAAAAAATATATTGCCGGATTTTCTTAGCTAATTTTTTATTTGCATACTTGCATCTATATTTATATGTGATTTTTTGGTATTACCTTTACTCGGTCTTAAAACTATGCTATATTAGCCTTCAAAATAAACTGGGTAGCAAGTTTTATGAGACAACTTGCATGAGATTAGCTATTTCTCTAATATTTGATAAAACATCTGTAAAACAGATAAATTTCAGTATTTTTTAATTCTTTCCCTTTAAAAATCATTGGTATCTTTAACAAATGGAGTTGGGAGAATTCTCCGTTTTTTTAAAACACTGAAATCATACTTTAATTTGGAATAAAAGATCTCAAAACCCTTACTGACTTTTTAAATAACTTATTAAGTGAAATCTATTTATTTCTTGTTCATAGTGTTCACTATCCCATTAGCAACATAATTATGCAAATTGAAAGACGTATAAACAGTGTTAGGGAAGTACTCAATTGCTTGAGGGAACTTGTTGAATGTGTTAGGGAGAAATAACAAAATTTCATCCCTTTAAATGTCAAAGCTGTTCTTAAAGGGATCATTACTTATGAACAAGAAATTCTGAGTTGAAGTGGATGATTATGACAATTGTCATGACTGTCCCTTGAGATGGGTTTCATTCTTTAAAGAATCTAATTCTTTTACATTGGTGTTACTAATTACTCTTCTAACATGGGGACCAGTGGTATCACCTTGTATACCACTGGGAAAAAGAGATTAAAATTAATATTAATGCTTTTTTTTTTTTGCAATGTATAACATTTTAAAGAGTTGTTGGTCAAAATTCAAAGTAGTTTTTAAAAATGAAAAATCAGGGGCGCCTGGGTGGCGCAGTCGGTTAAGCGTCCAACTTCAGCCAGGTCACAATCTCGCGGTCTGTGAGTTCAAGCCCCGCGTCAGGCTCTGGGCTGACGGCTCAGAGCCTGGAGCCTGTTTCCGATTCTGTGTCTCCCTCTCTCTCTGCCCCTTGCCCGTTCATGCTCTGTCTCTCTCTGTCCCCAAAATAAATAAACGTTGAAAAAAAAAATTTTAAAAATGAAAAATCAAGTTATGTCATGAAAGATGGCATTACCTATGGCAACAAATCGAACTGGAAAAACAATTCTTAGACTTGTTGACTTTATGCCATTACATGTTCAGCCAGTATACCAGCTCCTAATGTTAATGTTGAGTATATTTTTCCATTAATGAATGTTCAGGGGGAAAAAGAATGGAATAAGTTGATATGGCCACTATGCAATGTATATGGTATACAGACTGTAATTGAAAGGACTTCTATAAACAAATTCTGCAGAGGTGCCTTTGTGGCTCAGTCGGTTAAGCATCTGACTCTAAATTTTGGCTCAGGTCATGATCTTGTGGTAGTGAGATCAAGCCTTGCATTGGGCTCTGAGCTGAGTGTCCAACAGAGGGACTCTTTCTCTCCCTCCCTCTGTCTCTGACCCTTCTCCCCCCACCCCTTTTCTCTCTCAAAACAAATAAGTAAATAACGTTTATAAAAAATTTCTGCAAAGCAAGAAACTATTAAAAAGAGCCTTACTAGGGAATATAACAGAATGTATAATTAAAGAATTATGTAGTTTAGATACTTATACTGTAGTGAGCAGGGAGAGTTTTGACTTATACTATTTTGGTCTAATCTCCATGGATTTACAGTACAATTCTAGGGAAGGGAATTCAGACAAAAACTAGGAAAGCTATTTTACTAAAAAAAAGTGTGAGACTTGGAGATTGAGCTATTTACATCTCTGTGAGTTATATAAAACAGATAATAATATAAATGATTCTTGTCCATAGATATGGAAATTAATTGCGCCCAGTAGAATGCAATAGGTTATTACCCTATGGATAGACTCATTTGCTTCTATTGATAAATTCGTTTCAGCATTTGTTCCTAATATATCTGTTGTACTTTGGATTCTCCTCTAAACAGTTGGAACATTTACTGGTTTTCCCATTAATTAGGGAGTTAACTAAACCTGCGACAATGCGCATTTTGTACATGTGTAAAAGTCATGATTATGGTGTCTTTCACAGATAATCGTTTATCATGTTTGGAGGTCATTCGCTGAGATGTGCAGTGGACTCACCTGAGAGCCAGGTTATCTGAGTTGCCAGAAAAGTGCACCTGATGGGCTGCATAAACCCAGGCACGTCTTTCCTTTACTTGCAGAGGTGAACGTGAGTGACAATAGAACTTGAATTTTGCTCAAACTCTATTTCTCTCAATTTTCCTCCCCTCTGCTAATTTTGGATTTTGTGTCTATCATCGGTTTGTTTATAGATGAAAAGTTAGTCCCAACTGGTGGCAGCAATGACTGGAAATTTTGTTTTATAATCTAAACATTTGGTGATCTTTGTACATGGATTCATGGATTCCAGAGATCTAATTTTGGTTTGGAGAGAGATGACAGAGAATCTGGACTGTTAGTCAGGTGTCCTTAGAGTTCAATTCAATTAAGGATTTTGTGGCTGTTGAAAAGGAACACAGCTCACTGAGACAGTGAAAAACAAGTATGTCTCCTCTTTTTATATTTGTCTGATACTTGAAAACAAGTATCAAAATTCATTTCTAGGGGAATTACCTCTATTTTTCAGTTTCTGTTCATGTGTAAGGGGGTTTGTCTTCTACCCTCACCCTTAGTCCAACGGTGGGCATGTGACTAAGACCCAGCAAAAACAAAAACAAAAAACAAAAAACAAAACAACAGGCATCCGATCTCCAGTGACTAGGGAACAACATGTGACCCAACCAGAGCCAATAAGGAATAGTGACACTCTTGTAGGGACTCTTGTGAAGTAGAAACCAGAGTTGCCAGCTGTATTTGAACCTGAAAAGGTTTCACTTTGAACTTGCTGCCAGGCATGTTTCTATCACATGAATCCTGAGAATGAAGTTCAAAAGAACAGAGCCAAGAAATCAAGGGAAACTGAATCCTGAGGACATCAGTAGAGCCCCTGCAATAACCCTGTTGTCTGAACCGAGCCCTCATGTCGGATTTGTCAATCCCATGGGTCAGTACTTCCCTTGTGTTGGTTAAAACAGTCACTTTATATTTATTTTTCACTTTATCTCAGACGATTCCATGCAATAACAGAAGGTTCTCCATCCCTGGAGCCTTCTTTTATTGCTAGTCCACTAAGATTACATTTACCTCTCTGTGCCTCTATTTCTTCGTCTGTAAATAATAATAATAATAATTAATAAATGATATGTGGTACTTCAAGGAGTTATAAATATTAAGCGATGTAATAAATAGAAAATCATGAATGTGTTTCACAATGCTGAGGTGAAAGCAGCATCTCCTAACTTAATTTTTCAAACTTAAATTCTATCAGGTTTGAAATCACTCTTTACTAGGGTCAAAGACACCCGGTACTAGTCAATACTGGGGACAACATTTCCTCTTTACCATGATATACACTTCAATAAAATGTTTAGTGAAGACCTTGTCTTTGGCCCGTCATTATTAGTGATGGAAGCTCTTAGCACAAGCCTGTATGGTCCACTAAAGTGTGACGGTTCCACAGCCTCTGTGCTAAGTATGGACACCAGCCTGCTTTGGGCAGCTCCTAAACTATGGTGATTATTGTTTAGTCGCTCCAGCAAACACAGCAGTCCATACCATCAGAAGTGCAGCTGCACCCATGGGTACATCCTCGCAGGAAAATGACACTGATTGAAACATCGCCATATTCTGTTTCTCAATTACCCTGTTAACCTTGGGCAACTCTTCCTCGGTTAATGAAGCATCTTGCCCTTTCTGTCCCAGGAATACCTGGCTAAATTTCCTCCCACGTGAGAACCTGGATAGGGTTGTAGAACAGATGTCTAAACATTCACACATTTTGGTTACTCTGCTATTAGGTGTGTGGTGTAGGGCTGAGGAAGGTCCATTCCCACTGCATTCGATATCCGTGGCACCCCTGAAGCACAGCCCTGTACAAGCTGAATGATGATCCCTAATTGTGAGCTTTGGTTGTGAGCATTACCATTCAAAATGTTTTTTAGTCAAATATTTCCTATGCCTTTTCCTGACCCCTCCCCACCTCTAGGGACCACCAGAGCACTACTCAGAGCCTCCAACCCACACCTTCACTTAAAGCCCATCCTGCTCTATGTTCATTGTACACTGGATGTATTTACTGGAATACAAAAAAGACCTGCTTTCAGGAAAATGTCCCTGAGCCCCTTCAGATTGTCTTCTGGTTGTCACGGGTGAAAGGTTGTGCAAGCTGGCTCGGACCAAGAGGTGATTTTAATATGTCCCTAGCTTTGAATTCTGTGTGCATCCAGAGGCTGGAGAGTGACCTGAATGCTAGTTAGAAGTATGTAAAGATTTCTTGCCTAAGCCTGAAAACTGAATGCCTTCCCTCCCCTCCCAGCTCAGACAAACCCCTTTCTCTGCCCTCCTTACCCTCTGGCTTCCTTCTATTGGGAAAGCAAGAGAAAGAAGAATGCTTTTCCCAGTAACCTCCCCAAGGTGCACAGAGCTCACCAGGAAATGGCCAAGGTTACTACAAATATGCTAAAGCTCCTGTGTTAGTCACTCAGAGATGCTTGCAGGCTCACTGGTGTTGAGATGGAAAGGAAGGTAGGTCACTGGGGAAGAACTGGCTAAGCCAGGTCCTAGGACTGGTTCTTCACTTGATTTTTTTCTACTTTAATAAGCCCTTGAATACATGAATGAATATTTTTATACTCATTTTCCTTTTTTCTCCGAATGAACATTACACAGGGTAATTATATTTTTCAAAATTATGTTATCTTAGCAGATTGAAAGGACTCTGTGTGATGGTGGATGTGCAACCTGCCTCCATGTACCTGCCCACCTTTTGGAAATCTAAAAATGTAGTCTGTTAAAGCTAAAGTTCACACTTTCTTTCTCAAGCTCCTGGAAGCCTCAAACCTCAACTCAAACCATGGCATGGATGGAGGATTCTATTCTTCTCTTTGAAGGAAAACATGTATTTATGAAGGATAAACATCACTGATTATAAAAAAATAGAGCTCTCCAGAAGATGTGCTCTTATGAGCATTAATGAAGTTCTTGGCCAGACAGAGATAATTCTTTGAGTAAATTTTTTTTTCTCAGAAAGAGTTGGAGGAGCATTTTCTGTTTGGCAATGAAACACAGATCCACGAAGACAGTAGAAGATAGTGGCAGTGGGCTAAGATTCCTGGACTGCTGGTGCAATTTTGTGAGGTGCTGACTGTGGACACAGGCTTTCTGGGGGACATGGAAGGAGGATGCCCTGGACACAGTTATTGGTCCTGGGATTTCAGAAGTTATTTGGGGTGGCTGTCTCTGTGTCTGATTTTTTCTGTCTAGAAAACTCACACCCTTAGAGGCTGTAGGAAAGCTGCAGGAATCTGAGGGATCTTCTTGGACTTGGCTGAGCTGCAGCCCAAGCATGAAGTCAATACTGACCCTGATATGATGTGTTGAAGGGGATCTTCTGGACCTTGTTTTTCCTCTGGGGTAAAAGCCAGTGAAACCATCTCTGAACCCTAGTTCTCAAATGAATTTTGAGATGAGCCTGTTCCCCCTCGGCAGAAATTGAGGTGTCTTCTGTCCAGTGCTGTCTGTCAACTCTTGCCTACATTAGAATCTGAAAGACCCTCAGAAATTAGAGTACAAAGCGAAATGATTGGTGGCAAGCTCAGTAAAGTTCACATACACGTAGCGATTTTTTTTTTTTTGATTCAGTAGATTCCACATACTATCCCCAGGAATCTCACAATTACCCTGAGGGTTATACTCCTAAGAGCCATCTCACAGAGGAACGTGAGACCTAGGAGACTGACACATTTGGTGGAAGACGTTAACCAGAAATCTGTGTCCAAAACTAATTGGAAGTCCTTCCACTCCATCCTACAGGATCACATTTTGGACAACAGCCATGGACCGTGTCCATTTATTCATTCACTTCCTTGGTTTTTTGGGGGCAGTGGGGTTGTTTGTGGCTGGCAACCTCCTGGGAACTTTCTGGGTGTAATCTGAAATTGGCTCCCTACACAGAGGGCAGAGAGAGGTGGAGGAAAGAGGCAGGCCACTCCAGATTGGTAGGAGGCAGGTTTAATAAGCAAGGGAACCTGCTGATGACATCTTTCTTGAGTGGCAATAAGATGAGTACATCTCTGCACCTGCCTACCTGATCCTTACGTTTATATAGAGGCCTTACTGGAGTTCAGTCACATATCCAATGCATATAGCCTCAACACCACATTTCTATCTCAAAGCTATATGCTTGGAGCAGCTTCTGGGAGTGAGGAAGATAAGGGGGGCACATCCCAAGGACAGGAGAGGTAGTGGAGAACCTCCAATTACCAGGGACCAGCTCGCATATCTTCTTGATGACTTCTTCTAACAATGGGCAGAACAGGAAATCTGCAATGCATGCCAGGCTCCCTTCCTATGGAGCGCCCCTGGTGTGAGCTTCGCTGGAAAGACTCGTATTAGCAACTTCTGTCCTCTGAGACCATGGACAAAGGAACACATGGTGAGATGACAGGTAATCCTTAGAAAGCTCAGGGATAAACAAGTCAAAACCAACTTGTCAATGATCCCCCTTTTCCCCTTCTACCTGTCTCTACCTTGATTCTGAAAGACAATAAAAGAATAAGGGACTCAGACTCAACTCTGTCTCCTCTTTCTGGAGAAAGTGTAGAAATGGTAGTCATGACTTTCTACATCGGATTACTAGCACTTTGCATTCCTTACCTGTTGTTCATTTATAAGGGCATAACAGTATTTTCTTATAATATTTCTTCTTCGGAAAACTCAAAGAATTTCTTCCTCTACAAGGTCTTCAATTGATGTTTCACTCAGTATTCCTCTGCGTAAGAAGGACACAGCATTGCAATCCTACAGGACAGAGCTGGGACTCCTGCCTCTGATCAGTGGCTCTCAGGGGCTCCACACTGCTCTCTACATCAACGTGAACACAAAGGATTGGCTACCCCACATGGGATGGGAAGGGGACAGATGATCAAGGGTTGGACACTTTTGCTCCCCGCAAGTATCTGGAACCCTCTGGATAATCAAATTCAGGGACACTGAATCACTGTGTTTGAAATTATACCATGGAGCCATCTGCCACATGCACAAAGATTTGTCTTTTCTCCTGGAATGGTGATGTTCGAACCCATTCTGAGAGTGCCTGTCTCTTTGCCAGTATAACTGCTTTGGAGAAGTGGGAAGAGGAAAGAAGAACCAGAGTCCAGTTGCTCTGTGGTCTGGGCCAAGCCTTCCCTCACCTGATTATTGTCACCAATTTCCCAAGTGTTGATGAAGATGGTTTTCTCTTTAGAAGGTGGAAAATTACAAACAGAAACTGCATGCCACACAACCAGACAAGAAGTCAAATGGAATTTCAAAAGGAGAGACACTTCTTTATTATCCGAAGATCCCCGAGGCCTGGGGCAAGGGGCATTTGGATGTGAATCTCAGATGCACGTCACAGAGTTATGACATAGTCGTACAGGGTTTCTGAGGGCAGTAAAGGTGCAGAAAGGGAAAGATGGTCACTCAGTCTCTCCCTGACCCTAAGAGATACCTCTACCCATCCTGGACCTATGGCATCACCGTTCGCATCTCTCATCATTCCTGTTTTCCAGTTCCCTTGTTTCTTTGTATGTTTTTACCTGGTACAACTTCTATTCATTCCCATGTAACTCAACGTGTGTTACATTAATGAGTCTGTTGCTGCTGTTGGAAATCAAAGCTCTGTGTAGAGCAAGCCTCAGAATTGTCCCTCAAGAGGAGTAAAAAACTGCTTTGCTTGCCTACCACCTCGTTTGTCATTGTTTGTAGGCTGCTTCAGAGCTATTAAGTCCCCTGAACTTCTGATGAGTGCTGCGGGGAGACTAAGCCAGCTCCTGCTGCCAGAGAGCCCACCATAAGCTGGTTACTGTGGGTGCTGCAGAGGTATGAGCTGGTCACAGGGAGCATCACCTACAATTATCTAACACATTTCTCCTAAATCTGCCTCTACGTCCAGACTTGTGAGAAGGGAACTTAAGTGTCAATGGTTTACTCTCCTAGGATTTAAGCAGCAGTCACATGATTAACTATATATATAACTATTATATAATAGTTATAGATAACTATATATGTATGTAACTATATATTCCTTACCATATATATATATATATATATATATATATATATATATCATGTGATTGCTGCTTACATATCTCTGGTCTCTCTAGCCACCTTACTACACTGACTAGGAACCTCACTGATCAATTTCTTCACATCCATCATTCAATTTTTAAATCCACTAAAACTCCAATGTCGTTAGTTTAGCTTCCTAGAAAGGTCAGCATGCATGAAGACATCATTTTGAGTGGAAAAGAATAACTTCAGGATACATTGTTTCCAAGAAAACTGTTCCTCAAGGAACAGTGGAATTCTTTTTCTATGGCATTTCCTAAAATTTTGCGTTCGAAATTATCACTTTTTTTCCCTCAGTTTCAGAACTATGGCTGAAACGATTATATTTAATAGGCCAATATTTTCACTTTAATTCAAACATTAGTATTGCAGAAGAAAAATTTATATCCTAATTCATCAGCCCTTAAATCCTTCCCTACTATGTATGTATTACAGCAACCTAAGTGACTATGTTATCCTACGTAGGCCACAGACTAAGTATGCTATTAGTGGAGAACTTTTTTCATGGCTCTGTCTACATTTTAATGGCCTCCTCTCCACACTGAAGCCCCCAGATGACTTATGCATCTCACTCATTTTCAAGGTCTTTCACTCCTGAAAGACTTAAGAGGGATTAAGGCAGAAAATTTGTCTGAAGTTGCTTAGTAACTTCTAAGTGTAAGGGTGGTTTTGAATAGGACTTTGTTTCTCCTCTTTTCCTGCAGAATTTTCTTAGGGTACCTGAGACGTAGCTGAACTCCCCATATTAGTACGGTGACTCATCAATCACTGCACACATGTGTATAAGCCTGTCAGCATAATGTCAATGCAAGATAATTATGCGAGGTCCTCTCACTCGTCCTCCCACAGCTGTGTTCTGAGGGACCCAGGGGACTTTTTTCTTTATCCCAGAAGGTACTGTTAAGATCTCTCAAGTTCCCTTCTCCCCTGGAGAGACGTGCCCCACCGTTTCCCTATATTTCAACCAGACACACACTTGTCAAAGAGAGTCACTCAGATATCATCACTACTGTTCCTAAGAAGCAAATAGTGGATAAGTCTTCTGAGTAATGAGACACCCTTCTCCCTCAAGTCATTAGCAGAAGACACCGTTCCTCTTCTCCATCTCCCATGGTTCTGTAGAACAAACGTTCGACGCAGAGTTCCTTCAGCTGTGTACTCTCATATTCAAGCCTGAGGCTATAACATTTTTGACGGCTACAATCCAGCGGCTTTCTTCCAGTCTGCTCCCACTAATAACTCTCTTATAATATTTATAATGCTGTCTATTAAGGCTAGAGTTTCTTTTCCCCACAGACACTGTCAAATTATCTTTCATCTTCATGCTCGCACCTTACTTCTTTTCTGAGGGCAGACCTGTTGACAGAGAAGATTGCGCCTGAACTTCTTTGCCAACATTACGCCCACCGTAGCTAAAAAAGGCTGTGCCATCTGTCTCGGCTTGGCTTCCAGCCACCAGTGCTGTCGATTCCAACGGCTGTCAGATGCGCAGCTGGAGTCTCACTCACCACATCAACCGGGGTGGATCTTGGGAATGCTCGCGGACTAGAGAATTTGCATCTGGGGGGCTTGTTTTGCTTCGGATGCTGAATTTATTCGTGTTTGTGGGGCAGGCGAGTTTCTGACCCCAGGGGTTGCAAGGCTTCATATTCTGAGAGCAGCCCAGCCTCTTCAACCTAATAAAAATATCAGAGGGCTAAAGTTGTGTTTTAGAGGCACATTAGGTGACATTAACAGAATGATAACAGGGATGAAATGAGTTCAAGGTGGGCCAACATGAGTGATAGGTCCTTGAGACTGGTTCTTGCCAAGAGAATTGCTCTAAGGATTTTTACAATTGAAATGGACAGGTGCTATGCCAAAGACACAATGTCTGTTGTAGAGGCCACTTAATGTCATGTTGTAGGGAAGATGAAAGCAAGCAGGCAGGGATTCTTGAGAACCCAGAAGGCTGATGCCCTGTTTACCAAACTGGTTTAGAGAGAGTTTTCTAGGAAGGGAAGCAAACAGATATTCATTTGTACTAGAAGAATAGAAACAAAATAGCCAATTTAGGAAATCGACCAAGACGAAATGTCTCTGGCAGTTCATAGAGGCCCAGGCATACCAGCTTACACTCAACAGCATTAAGATTAAAAAAAAAAAAGTAGCCTCTATTATGAGTCATAAATTACATTGGTATAACACTTAACTCAGATCCCAGGAGAAAAAGGAGCTTCTCTTTTAAAGTGTGTGTGTGTGTGTGTGTGTGTGTGTGTGTGTGTGTGTGTGTGTGTTTTATGATCCTATAATGGAAATGAGTGTTACAGAGTTACAGTTCGGAAAGAAAATTTGTAAGATTTTAGAACAAAACCACAGTGAAAATCTAGTCACACAGAAATGTTGTTTTCTCCCAGTTAAGCCAGAAAGATAAACATGGTCCTGTGTCTTCTCAGATTTTATAGCTGAACTTCAGTTGGTTAACGAGCGAAAACTGATAAAGCAGCTGATGGAAATTACTGGAGGAAAAATGATGGAGTTCTATAATCAGATGGAAGGAAATTCTATCCCATGGTGAAGGCTGGACTGATAGAAAAATAGACATACAAAAATGAAGTTGCTCCAGAAGTTTGGGGAATATTATAATCAACTTGTTCTGTTCATGTATATTTTTTTGTACTCTGCAATGTCAAAATGCACGTGTAAATAAGCTTTAAGTGATCATTTATTGAACATATGAAGCAACCCTAAGTGATAAGAAAAGCTTGATTAGAATTATTTTCCTTCTTTAAACCGTAAATGGTGTTCTAGATTTTCTGGAACGTATGCTTTATTTTGTCTAACTATCCATCTACTTAAGTACAGATCTTGTCCTAAAATTTATGGTAGGCTTAATGGACAAAAGGAAAAAACAATGGAAAAAAGCATGAAAACACTGATACAGCAAAAAACAATTACAGAAGCAAAATGCTATGGTGCTTGCATTTCACTTTGTATCATGGCTTTTTTTCACAGCTTGTTGGCTCAGTGTGTGCAGAAATTTTACCATCAAAATTTTATTTCATTTTTTTTTTACCAGATACAGCTAATAACAAATAGCAAATCAAACACATTTATGGTGTGTATTTCATAAGTGGCAAACAAACTAAACAAAATAAATAAAAACAACAACAAAACAAAATAAACTCAACAAAATCCAATCATTTATTCAGCAAACAATTCACGAACACTCTTGTGTTTCAGGTCCTGCCGTGGGTGGGCTAGAGATGCAAAGACTCCTTTATTCAAAGGGGAAAAATCCTAGAGATAAAATTTTCACATTAATTAAGGGGTAAAAGGAGTCACATTGCATTAACGTTTCCCCAGTGAATTCAACCGACCGTTGCCATCACACGTGCAGGGCTTCCTATTGATGCTGGGTTGGTCCGTGTGTCTTGCTTTGTCCACGGTGACTTTGCTTTGTCCACAGATGTGTGTGACTGGACGTGATGAGTAAAGAAGCCAAGAGGCAATTTTAAAAGCTATTGTGTGTTTCCATCAGCTTTTTAGTTCTTTTTTTCTGGCCAGGAAAAAGGTGAGTTCAAATAAGGGTTTGCCCTTCAGTCTGAGTCCTAGAATGAAGGAGAAAATACATAGAAAGGCATTTAACAGCCACCCTGAGCTGCTCACAGAAAAGACTTGAGGAGTGAAGTTGTTGTAAGCCACTGAGATTTTCTGGGGGATTGTTATCAGTGCTAAGACTGACCCATTCTGTACTATTCAACTTTACCCATCATATTCTGAAAATTAGTTATTGAAAAGGTTCCAAGTAAATTGGAGTTTGAAATTTTTCCACCCAAAGATAGAAAATGTTTTTTATCATGTAAAACAGCATGAGAAAAATCCAAGGAAGTATTGATAAGGATGAGAGATTTGGAAAATATATTTTGGTAAAATCTATGTGAAAGGAAATATTTAATATTTATACATGTTAAATATATTATATATAATATTGTATATAATAAAAATAAAATATATTACATATAATATTATATGTAATAATGAGTAATTATCCTAAAGAGAGAAATAAGAGGCATACTTTGATTACCATTCTAAAAGTTAATATGTTTATCCTCAAGCAAATAAGGAACTAATAAAGTTCAAGGAACAAAGGCAAATAATTTTGTATTTTTGAAAGTCTTCCATAGTGTCATTACACTCGGTGGGGGCAGGGAATGGCTCAGGGAAGGCTGTTGTTCATCAAGGGAATGTTATTTGAAGCCACTTTAAAATATGAGCGTCTTTGTTCATTTGCCCTGCTATAACAAAATACCACTGAGTTGCTATCTTATAAACAACAGAAATTTATTCCTTATAGTTTGGGATGCTGGAAGTCCAAGATCAGGTAACCAGTTGAGGTCTGGTGAAAGCCCACTTCCTGGTTTATAGATGGCCTACTTCTCACTGTATCCTCACATGATGGAAGGGGCAAGGGGGCTCTCTGGGGTCTCTTTTATAAAAACACTAATCCCATTCATGAGGGCTCCACCCCAATGACCCAAGCTCCTTCCCAAGACCCCACCTCCAGGTACCATTACACTGGCATTAGGTTTCAACATATAAATTCGGTGGGGAGCAGGTTGTGGGTACAAACATT